TCTCAGCTCAAACATTATTTCCTCAGGATAACCTTTCTTTCTTTTTAATACCATGTTCGAAGTAAGGAGTTTTATAATTCCTACCCAAAATGGTGACAATGGTTTTTCTGGCTTTCTTTTGTGAGCATCATTGTAGGCTCATGGATTTTCATAGATTCAATGTACATCAGTCAACTACAAACTTGTGTTTTCACACCCATATTGTCTAATCTTTGTGCAATGGGGCCCTTCAAGCTGGCTCCTGTGTTCTTTTGAGAGGACGCTGTTAATCACTGAGATCTTCCTTGCTTTCTGGCACAGCAAAGTATCCCAAACTCACCTATACTTCCCTGCCCAAGCTCTGGAATCAGCCATTTGTCCAAGGAGCTCTGGTGCCTTTTAGTGAGGGCAAACTCCTTGAAATTTAATGATAATATTTTAAGACAAATTAAAGGAAATATTATATTACACAGTGAGTAATAGATTTGAGAAATGTAGTGTATAGATGCTGAAACAATGAGAAGATTCTGTAAATCTTGGAGAAGAGTGTAGATGGCAGATTTGGAATAGGATATTAGGAAAGTTAGCAGCAGAGCTGAGCATCTGTAGCCTGGCCGCCATTGTGAAGTTCACCATGATGATTCACTAAATGCCTATCAGTGCCTCCATCAGCTGGGGATTGTGTTCCGTTGCAAAGAACAGAGAACCCAACTTTGAGTCACTCAGCTAAACTGGCTTTTCCCTTTTTATTGGTAGTCACAGCTCTAAAATTAGTCACAACAGGGAACATTACTACTGGTGCTCCAGCATTGTCAATGTTAACATTAATGTTCATGAAAACGGTAAAAGAAATTCAGAGGTCACCATTCCAGGACTGGTGTGATGGCTCTACAATGCTATCAGGGACCCAGGCCCCTCCATCTTTCCATTCAGCAGCCTTTAGAGTACAGCCTTCATCCTCATGCCTCACAGCTGCCTCATTCCACTTTAAGCACTTGTATCCACCTTTCAGCAGACGAAAATGGAAGAGAGAAAGACAAAAGGCAGACTGATTCTGCTTCCTATTCCATAGTGCCATCCATCACCTTCCACTTATATCTCTTTGGGCAGAACTGTGTCACATGGTGGTCCCTAGCTGCAGTGGATGCTGGGAAATGTAGTTTTAGCCAGGCACATTGCCACCTGAAATAAACACTGAGTAAGAAAAAGAGGGGAATGGATATTGGGTAGGCAATTGCAAGGTATGCCACAATACAGCCATCTAAGGCAAAATATCAGGCTGTATGAACATGGAGCCTATTTTATTATTATTAACATTTTATTATTACTTTATTCCTATTTTAGATAAGAACAAGTTATAAAATAATGGAGGGACAAGAGCTATGCACAGAGTTGGGGAACATCAAACAGTAGCTGGATAATTTGGCCACTGTAGGTCACCTGCCTCAACAGTTCAACAGTGCATGTATATAAACCATATAATAGCTCTACTTTTTCTGTGTCTCTTTTTATTGGTAGTTACAGCTGTTCAAATTAGAGTTGCAGAGAGAACATTGCTGCTGGAGCTGCAGCATTGTCATAGATTGAAGGTCAACTCAAAGACACATTGTAGGTAAAGAAATATTTTCCCAAACTGAGCAGGCCCCCTCATGTCACTTAAATTTAGGCAAAATTAATCCTGCAGCACCTTGGAAAGAATGGTGACATTTCTTTTCTTCAATTCCTAGACTTTCCTAAGCTAACATCTCAGAAAAGGGTGTTTGCTTTTCTGAATAAAACACAAACTATTTAAATTTTGGATCTCTTCATTTTGAGATCCACCCTGCCTGAGACTCTTCACTCTGCTAGAATAATTGAAGTGGGACACTCAGTGAGTGAGCTTGGTGATATAGATGGAGTGATGTCCATCAACTAAGACCTTTGATGCAGCCTCTGCAAGGAAGATGTGCAGTGTGTCCTTGAGAAAAGATGAAGAAAAGGCTTTTTCCTAAACTGTCAGCAAACCCATCCTGTTGTCTCCTGCCCCAGAATTAAAATCTAGATTACTGAAATAATGGCTACTTCTAAGTCTTGTTATTGATTGAATAAAGTGGAGTTTCATTTTATATGAGCCATTGTAAGACACTTTTCCCCTATCTTAGGGTTTCCAGTTTCTGAACGGTTTAGGGGCATGCTGTTGCAGGGACCCAAGGTTTCTAGATAAATATGTTTCGGTTGCAATGCAAAAGTAATTCAGATATTCAGAGACCATGATTAGCATTTCTATATTACTTCCCATCTTCCAAATGCTTTATAAACACTGAGCTTGTGGGGGCCAGGGAGGGGAGATGATTGGGGAAAGATGGAGAAATGCCACAATTTATGTGCATAATCCAAGCCAAAACATACTTTAGCCCCAGTCTATTCCCTGCAGAGGCGCTTGTGGCTTGAATTGTCCAGCCAATTGCCCTAACTCTACGCTTCTCTTTTCATGTGTAGATACAACCCAACCTGAGTTCTCTTGACCATCCTGCTGGGACAGTACAGGATTCTCCTCCTTATCTGCTCTGTTTTGCATGGAGGATCATTGAGCCACAGAGAGTTTAGGGGTTTTCTTGGTCACTAAGCCAGAATCACTCTGTGGTAGTATTTCTCCTTCCAGGAAAAATTCCAGAGTCAGATCAAGAAACCAATCAGATTCCGTCCTTGTTTTTTCAGCCATTGAAGCAAAATGCCAAATAGAAGAAAAAATACATTTCCTATCTCTTCTTCTAAAATATAAGTTTTAGTAGTAGAAAGAGCACTTCATCACAGGGAAAAAGAAAGAGAACTCCATTTTTAAGCCAGTTAAGTATGTCCCAGTTGCTATAATGAAGTTAGGGCTGGATATGCAGGGCATCCCTCAAGATATTGGCAAGAAAATCCTGGGCCCCTTCTGAGACTTACATTCTCAAATCCTGTGCAGGAAATTCTCCATGAGAAGTCAACTATTAGGGGTTTTAGGGTTGAGGATCCAGGGAGAAAAGCAAGGGAACAATTGCATTCAGTTCTCTCTTCTTGGGTTATGATAAAGAGGTCTTATGTTGAGGAAAGACTTGGCATGTTTCTCTCTCTCTCTCTCTCTCTCTCTCTCTCTCTCTCTCTCTCTCTCTTTCTCCATGTGCTGTTCTTAATCCCAGCATAATACATTTGGCCTCTGTTGAGTTGAGCAATGCCTAGGAATGCCAGGGCAACTCCCTCTATGAAGATGTGCCAGGAGACAAAAAGCATGACAGAGAGATGGCTGGAAAGGTGGACAAAGACGCTGCCCCCAGCCACATCTCCTGAGCAAAAAGGAAGGACAAGCAAAAACATGATGAGGAGCAGCCAGCTTCCCCCTCTGTAACTGCTTGTTTTAAAGACGAGACAGCAGATATGTTGTCTATTTCAGCCCTCTTCTTGGCCTCTTGGAACCTTCACAAAGATGGTCTCTGCCCCAATGAGTTTATTCCTCAGCCCCGTTTCTGTTTAGAGATACTGACAAATCCATTTCCTCAGGTTAGCTCTCTAAGAAGATATTTATCTGCTGCATGTGTTTCATCCTCAGGCCATTCTTGACCTTGGGTACTCAGAGTCAGGGGTGTTTTGATACCAGATGTAACCCTAAGCTGGGTCAAAGGCACTCTGGTAGGGGGCAGAGAGTGCGTGTGGAGACAGTGTGCTGGAATATACACTCCAAAACCCCAAAACATGCGCAAGAATAACAAGAACATTAACCACTGACCCAAACGCTGGTGAAATTCTATCTCTACATCTTCCTCCACCAGTAAACATGAAAATGCCATCCCTGAAGGGATGGAGGAAGCCTCCAACAAGAGGTCCAGGGAGAATGAGAGGAGAAGAAGGGCTGGCTTGGGAAAGAAGTCTAGCAACTTCTACACTCTGCAGTCACTGGAAAAATTTTCCCCTAGTGACAAATAAATAGAGACTTTTTTTACTAGCTGGGAAAAACAACAGACTTGCACTTTTCTTTTTCAGAATAAAGGCATTAAATTTCAGAATGCCCTTTTGTCACTTTTTCTTTGGCTACCCCATATCTTCATCCTCATCTCATGCTGTTCTTCCCTCCTTCACTCCACCAGCTTCACTGACTTTCTTTCTGTTCCTCAAATGAGCCAAGTTCATACCTACCTCAGGACTGTCTTATTTGCTGTTCCCTCTGCTAGAATGTTCTTCCCCCAGATTGTTGCAGGTGTTCAGATCTCACCTCAAGTATCACCTTCTCAGAGGGGTTTTCCCTCGCTACCTATCTAATTTGTCCCTGGCCACTCTATCATTTTCTTCCTTCTCTTCTTAGCAATCACCACACTCTCATCTGATTTTATTTATCTATGTTTTTATCATTTATTCTCCCCAACTAGATGTACGATCCAAAAGAATAGGGCCCATGTCTCTCCTGTACATGGCTGTATCTCCTGTGTCTAGCATGTGGTTGTCACTTGTTGGATGGATGGATGGATGGATGGATGGATGGATGGATGGATGGATGGACGGATAGGTGGATGGATGGGTGGATGGGTGGATGGATGGATGGACAGATATAATCAATGATTTGGCTCAAGTATTTTATCCAGTTTGGTCAGATCTTTTGTTCCATGGCCCACACCAAAGAAACAAACTCTGGACACTGAGGCTATAACTAAAGACAGAGTGGTTAATCAATTGACGCTATGAGAAGAAACCAGAATGTGACTCCAGTTCTAAAAGCGCACCTATTCTCCTTCCAAATGGCACTTTTGTGTTGATGTGCTTTGATGTTTAACAAATATACCGTAACTCATTAGCCCTCAGAAAATTCCCAAGCAGCAGGCTGGGAAAAGTTTCCTGATGATTTGGCCCTTTGAGGATGGAAAAACTAAACCATGGGGAATGAAAATGAGCTGGGAATACCATCCTGGCTTAATTCCAGCCACTGGAATTCTCTTTGCTCCTGAATTTAATGGACTCTTAAGGGTAACGTTTTTAAATCATGCATCTCCTATTTATTTGTTTGTTTGTTTTAGAATAACCTCAACCTGGAAAGTGACTCTGCATCAGAAACCAGCTTTCCTCTCTCCAAAGAAGTACCAGGGGAGCATCTGGACCACCAGGCTGCACACCAACCCTTCCCCAGACAGCGATTCCAGCAAGAGGATGGGCACCCTTCATTGCAAAGAGATGGCCCCAGATCCTTTCTCCTTGATCTACCAAACTTTCCAGACCTTTCCAAAGCTGATATCAATGGGCAGAATCCAAATATCCAGGTAATGCTTGGCAGCTGACAGGTGGAAGAAAATGAAACAGTTCATCTCTTTGTTTACTGATCTGATTCCAGAGCAACTGCTGTCTTATCTCACTTTTCTTCTCACCTCTTAATGAATCCTGCTTGTGATCATGTTATTGCTATAAGAACAGTGTTGTTTTTCGTCTAGATACCACCCTTGATTGTGAGATGCACCATTATTTTATAAGCCACTAAAAAAAGAAAATACTGCTAATTACAGTATATGACCCACCAATGATTATAAGATACATTCTGATTTCAGACATGTTAAAATGTAAAAACAAAAACAAAATAATATGCCTTGAAATTGATGAAATATGGTAGCTATAGGTAAGGGCCAATCTAACACATGTGTGGACTAGGCAAATCATAGTATGATTTCAAAAGTGCTCTGGAAGGTACTCTCTCTTAAATAAATGCCTCTCCAGCTTGCCTTGGACACCAGAAATTCCCTTAGGAGTTGACAACACTTCAGTTGGTCTAAAGTGTCAATGACTGATTTAAAAAATGTGCTAAGAGAAAGGGAGGTGAGAACAGAAGTTCCTAAGGCAGAGATGAATACATACCACTAAGATGAAATGGGACGAAGTGGAAGGAAATGGGCAGTTAGGGGAAGAGATGCCTGGGCTTGAAAATAATCAGACTCATCTACACTGAAATAGCACAGAATCCTTTACAAAGCAAATCTTCATCCGATTTGACTCTCCCAACATCCTCATGAAGGCGATGGGAGCACATGTCACTTTTCCAGTATTATCAATAATGCTGCAGATACTCAGGGAGTTACTGTTTGGTTTGCCCAAAGTCACATGACCAGCAAACTGTTGTTGGGTGCTCAAATCCAGGCTCTCAGGCCCCCAAGAATACTCACCCCACCAATTTGTGTTTCAGAGACAAAATCCTAATTTTGAATTTTGCTTGTACCTCCCTCTGTTTCTTCCCAGAGATGGTCTGCATGGTGGCTAACAGAGGCTTGCCCTGGGCAACCTAGCCCCTGTCCTCATTTGCCTGCTTCCATACTTTTAAGCTTTGTTCTCAATTCTTTTCATTTGGGGAGGGGCAGCTTTTTCTTATTCTTCCTCTCTGCATCAAATTCCAATTAGCTTACATGGCAGAAAGTTCCTGAACCTGACCTCAGAGCAATTGAGCTTTAATTAAGTTAACTGTCTCTCTCAAGACTAATGCTCTCTGCATGACACCATTCTAGATCAAATTTCCTTGGCCAGAGTTGTTTTGCTCATAATACCAGTGTCATGGTGACTAAGGAGTGTCATTGAGAATGCACCTCTACTGGAATACATTGACCAGCCCCGGCTGTGTATAAAATGCTGTGTTAGGTTATGGGAAATTAAGAAATGCAAGGCCTTCTCCCTCCAGGAAATGACATAGGTGTGAAGATCCCAGGTACCATCAAACACTGTACCAGAGGGATCATGGAGACAGAGGAGGAAAAAATGTTGTGTTCCACGGTGGGGAGATCTGAATAGATGGGAACAAGTAGGGTGGGGCAGTGTTGAGGGTACAGAAGTAAAAAATGTTTTGGAGGTCACTCTTTGACAACCACTGTGCAGAAATCACTGCACGTACCAGTTAATATTTCTGGTAGGTCTTGTATTGTTCTAATTGATTAAATGGAAAACAGACCTTTTGCTTCACTACCCTCTCTTCAGGAACTGGCCACGACTCTCTGATAAAGAACAAAAGATCCACTTGGGGGTGGGTGCCAATTGGCAAAAAAGGTGTGGACCTCTCCTTACTGTTGCTCAACATGGCTCCCCATCATGCCTGCATCTACAGGAAGTGATTTTTCCTTGTTGATAGATTTTATGGTTCCTAGACCAGACTGCCCTCACCTCAAGTGTGCTTAGGCCATGCCCAAAACAGTTGTAAGGCTTGCTGTGGCTCACATTTTTTCCCGAGGTAGGAAATGTCACTGTGGGGCTTAATGCTAAGGACTGAGCTATTACTGTAATAGATTTAAGAATTACTAATGTAAAGTTTCAAGAAAACACCTGGATGCAGGGGAGGAAGGCTACAGGGAGAGTGGTCCCTCACTGGAAAGTTACTAAGTGCATAGGGTTCCACCTAAGAACCAAATTTCAAGCAGAATTTCTCAGGATCCCCTTTCTCTCTCCCATTTAAAACCATCAGTCAGAAAATCCCCAGAGCCCACTTGAGCGTTTTTGAAATAGTACCTAAATGTCAGGGAAGAACAGTAGTGCAAATGTGGTTGGGATCCACAGATCTGGGAAACCCAGATTACTTTTCCAAAAAAGAGGGCACCCATGAAGTGCTAACCCCTCTGCAGCCCATGTGATGGATCTGTGCCTGAGCTCAGTAGAGCAGCCAAGACTGCAATTCATTTTTCATCATCATAAGCTGTGTTGTTTAGCCAGATGGGAAGGAAAGAATGCTTCAGAACAGTGTCACTGGGCTTCCCGAGGGGTGAGGGGCTATTGGAGTTGATGGGTGAGGAGAGAACTGGAATGAAAGGAGGAAGCGGAGAATAAACGGAGGGTGCGTTATGACAAGGCCACACGTGGTTCTCTCTGGCAGAGCCTCTTGGACTTTTATGAAATGCAGCTTCCTCGTGTGCTGTCACACAGGTATGGCCGTGGAGACGGTACAAGTGGAAACTGTGTGCACTCGTCCCCTCTGAGACCCGAAGCTACCTGTTTATATAAACTTATCACAGGTGAAAAGTAACAATCAGTGCTTCATTTTCACTTTCTCTTACCGTCACCCCAGCGGGAACAAGAAGTTCGCCTCCAGGTGCTGCTTCCGAAAGGGATGCTTCGTTATGCAGAGCGGCAAGAGGGACAGGGCCACTCCTATGAGGGCCTCATATCTTTCTTGAGTTACCCTTTGAACAGCAAAGATCACCAATACTCCCAAGAGTATAGGTTTCCCCACAGCTCCAAATATCAGGGTCACTGGCAGAAGGGGTTAGAAACCAAAAAAGCTCCAATCCAGATACCATTAAAGTCAAAAACCTAAAAAGACCAGGACAATGCCATGTCTTTGCCCACTGCCTGGTCAGGTCACTCCACTCGTGCTTTATACAGTCCCTGTGTCTGCTAACTTTCCAGTACGGAGGGGCAGGGTGGCTTATGTTTTATTGATCTGATAACCTGTCTGCCCTAATGAAAAGAAAATGGAGCTGCATTTCTGGCCTTCTCTTTCTGGAAGACCACAGAAAGTTAATGTTGGTCACTCAGGAAGATGTTCAAAGAGAGAATGAAGCAGCTGCCACCCCTGGGAGCCCCAGCCCTAGGTCTACTTGTCAGTGTGTGCGGGCACGCGCGTACACAGGCACACACAGACACAGCACAGGCCACTGCAGCCCATGCACCACTGCACTTGAGTAAACCAGTTCCCTGGTGGTCCTTTAAAAGCTGAGGTGCTTTCTAAAAGGGGGTTATGGTTTCCGTGTTGGCAGCTCTTGCCCCTTCCTTGCAGCACTGCTCCTTTGTTGAAATCCACTGGTTTGACACGGGGCAATTCAGCCAAGCAGGCAGCCCCACTGATCACCGCGGGCCCTCAAAGCATTTTCTCTCCCTGGGAAGCCGAGTGTAGACAGGTGAAGGGTGCATCAGTGGGTTGGCTTCCGCTGCCAGGGACCCTGGCCTCATCTGCCCCCTCCCCTGGCAACCTGCCCCTCGTCCCCACCTAGTTATCTCTAACTGAAGCCAGGGAGCTGAACAGGAATTTGATACCCCTCTCTCTGAACTCCCTCCCCAACTCCTCCAGTGTCTGGGAGTGTTTCCCACGCTCCAAGCCTGGGGTCCGCTGTCCCTCCTGCCAAACAGCCCACACCTTTCCCAAGTGACATTGCTGAGCCATGCAAGGGGACACATCCCTCTTGACTTTTGGGAAGGGAAATTCTTTTAAAAACCCTGCTTTTTAGAGATTTTTTTTAACCCCCCTGAGCCAGGTGGCCTCTGTCCCCAGTGGAGCAGGTTCTCCATTTTAAGACTAGTTTCAGGCTATGGAAGTAAGTGGGAAAAAACAACAACAGTGGGAAAAAAAGAAAGAAATAGCCTCAAACTCCTGAACCCAATCTCCATATTAAATTTAAAACAAGACTAGAAGTTGGGTTTTGTTTAAATAAATAAATAAATAAATAAATCCTTCAGGAAAGAAAGTAAATCCCCCAGGACAAGTTAGACGTGAACTTTAGTATCCTTGGCTGGGTTTTTGGTCTGTGCTGACGATCAGATAGCAAAGACAAAAATCTCTAAAATAAACTCATTATTAGGCTTACTGCATCAATTCATTACCACAGTAGCTATTCATAACCAAATATTTCTCTTTTCTGGATCAAGCTGAGATTAGTATTCATTTCAACCAATAGACTGATTTCTTTTCTTTCATTGAGGGAGACTTAAAAATAGTCATCTAAAGGCCTTTTTTTCCTTGCACCGACTTATTTACATGGCGATAGGCCTCTTGAGTACCACAAGATACAATCAGACGAGTTGGCCACAAATGTTGGACGTGCTTCTACTTCTCATTTTCCCTTCTCCTTTTGCTCGAAATTACTTTTGGAATGGCAGATCTGGCCAAGTAAAAACCAAGAAATTTCTGTGCCCAAGACATGGACCCACATGCCCATGGGTCAAGCCTGTATTGTTCAGATTCTCAGGGGGTACTACTGTCCAGAATATGAGCTACAGAGTCCACTGAACTGCATTTGGGATCTGGCGCCATCATTTAGTCTGCCAGGCTTGGCCTCTATGGCTTCATGCAGGTTACTCAACCTCTCTATATCTCGGTTTCCTTGCCTATACAATGGGAATGATAATACTACCGATGAGTACCTACTGTACTACGTACACATAGAGTTGTCATGAGGATTAAATGAGACCATCTGTGTGAAGCACTTACCACAGGGCCAGGTATATGGTAAGATTCCGCAAACTGGTAGATGCTGGTTGGTGATGACAAGGGGGCTGAAGATGACAGAGGAAACGTGTATAAAATAACTGGGAATCAGAAGACCAAGTTTTGAAACCAGCTCTACACCTTCGTTGCTACTCACCTAGGGAACTTGAATTCTCCAAGCCAGTTTCTATGCCTGACATTTCGGTCTAATTTGTGTAGAATGAGCAGTAATGTTTGGGCAAGCATGCTGCAAGTCTCAAAGCATTAACCACCATTAGCTGGGTTGCCAGAGTTGTTTTTAGAGCATCAGTGGGTCTGAGAGGAGGGGATTATATATCTTCCTAGTCCATTTTGTGTTCTTTCTGCAGCAATTGTCAAGGAAGGAGGGGTACCTAATCTGGGGCCTAAAACCCTTCACTGGAGACTGTCTTCCTGTCCCTGGATGTTCTGTACTCCTGAGGAAATCACTTCACCTCTCAGGGCTCATTTTCCTCTCTGGGAAACACCAACCTATGCCTACCTAGTCACCATAGCTCTCTCAAGGCTTAGAAGATCAACAAGCTAGAAGATTCTAGAACATTCTCCTGAGTTCAGAAGGTCAAGGCTTCTGTATTCTCAGTGTCACTAGTTTATTAGCAGTTAGACTGAGAATTGTGTTAGTTTTCCTATGGAAAGTGCTTTTCAGAGCAAGAGTAAAGAATTTGTTTGTAATAAATGTTTTAACTATCAAGAGGAGGAAAGAAGCTGGTAACGTTTCATAGCATCTTATCCTCATTTCCCAATTTTGGACAGAATTCCCCAAAATGGCACTATTTTGCTCTCTCTTTTTTAGAGCTGACGAGATTCTGCCAGAAGTTGGACTTGGGTCTTTTGAAAGAGTTCTCTTTCTTTTACTGTCTTGATTTATGGTGTGGAAAAGCCCAGAAGAAGCAAATATACTAAAACACTTCAATTATATGCATTAAGGTTGAGAAAGGATGGTAAGATCTAGAGTTTTTATCAGCTTGGAAATCTGCTGCGCTCACTCCCACACCTTCAGCTCGTCACATCGATTATTGTTCAGGACATCTTTATAAACGGATTCTTTGATGCTAAAGAACATGTAAATACAATAAGAGCAACAGGGAATATAAAACTAATCCCCACCATTCGAGAAGTCATTGATCATGCTTATTAAGTCCTTTTAATTGAATGCCTATGAAATTTCAGGTTCAAGATTAGATTTCTTCTTCTGATATCAGTATGAGGTTTCCATATTATTAACTGCAGGGAAGGGTGGATCCTAAGGTTTGCGTGTTTTTTTGTTTTGTGTTTTTAATTCAGTTGGGGCAGTGGCTAGAAATTAAAGGAAAAAAAGAAAACTCTAAGCTGTTGAGATTTAGTCATCGATAGAGTTTTTGGCATAAATTTGTATTTTGCTACTCATTGCCTGGCCGGGCAACAAATCTGTTTTGTTTGGATCTGAGCAGCAGTTTGGAAAAAAAAAAATAATCGTATTGACGGTAATAGCTTAAAATATGAAATTGTTTTTATTCCCAGCTTGGAGAAATTGCAGGGCATGTTTTGTTTAGGCAATCCCTTTGACTCCAGTCTGAATACAAATGGAATACCAAACTGTTGGGCATGTTCCCCCTTATCTTCTACCCAGAGACTGATTTCATTACCATAATTGCAGGCTTGCCTGGCTCTTGGCAGCTTCTCCCCTCCAAGACCCTTAATAGCCTTACAGACGATTGTTGCGGCTGCTGTTCTGCTGCAGGCAGAGGGGGACAGGACTGCAGAGGAGAAAGGTTATGTCTCCAAAAGCTAGCATTGCCCTGTGACTGCCCAGCTTGGTTCTATGCTGCCTAGCTGCGCAGTCCTTCTGCACTTGTCCTTCCAGTGTTGTGTGTGGGTCCTGGTCACCATCACTCTCCAGCAACCATCCGTTCCAGCAAACAGCAATGATACAAGACATATGATGTTTTCCTTTCTTCTCTTCCTTTTTTTCGTTTTGGGGGTTACTAAAAGTTCCATAATTGTTTATAAATTTGCAAGGGATGCTTACAAGACGGGAGTAATGGTGGTGGCATGGAATAAAGCCAATGGTGCCCATCTAGGCATCCCACACCAGAGGAAAAGATGCCCTTGGCTTGCTGCAGCCCGAGTTTACTCTGGGATTGAAGACCACACTCTTGACCTTTTGTCTGGATGACACAAGACCACAGCCCAGGCCCACCATCAGGTGGGCAGCTCCCTTTGAATGTCAAAGCAAGTAGAACTCAGACCTCCCCATTTCTAACACAAAAGGAAGGGGCTGTTTGTCTCAGGGATGGGCACACCCCAGTGCAATTTGGCAGAGCATCCCAGTAACTCTCTCAGATGTCGGGTTAGGGCAAAACTGGAAATGCATCTGTCCAGTACATCTTGCGCTGATTACTTGGAATGTATGTTTCTGATTCATTTGCACATAACTCATCCAGTGGGTGTTGCAAGAGCTATGCGATGGCCAAAGGAACCCAATGAGTCTTTTATTATATTTTTTAAACAAGTTTCTCTACGTTGATTGTCTCTTGGAGCCAAGAAACTGCATTCTTCCAGCCCTGTGACTTTAAAACTAGGCTCTGGAAATCCAAGAGCAAGTTCTAACCTTGGCTCTGAGACTATCTGCTCTGACCCTGAGGGTCGGTTGAGGAGTGTGCGCACTGATTCTGGACTACGGGATGAGTGAAAATCATAGCTGTGAAAGCCTGGATCTTAAGGACTTTGTGCTCACATCTCTATACATCCTGTGGCATCCAGCCTCCACCTCCACCCCTCACCCCCAGCATCTGTGGCCTCTTTGCTCCTTCAGTTGTATGAGAGGATGGTAATTCTGTTACTTACTTTTTGAGAGGCAGTGTAGCAAAGCTGGTAAAAGCATGGGCTCTCGAGCCAGACTATCCATGTCTGCCACTTACTAGCTGTGTGACCTCAGGCAAGTTGTTAATTTCTCAGTGTGCCAGTTTTCCCTTTCTGTAAATAGCTATTGTTGCTGTTTAGCAACCACCCCAAAACTTAATAGCTTGAAGCAATGATCGTTGGATTGCTCACAGTCCTATGGGTCAGGAATTTGATCAGGGCTCAGCCAGGAGAGCTCGTCTCTGCTTCACATGGTATTGGCTGGGGTGACCCAACTGAGCTGGAGGATCCAAGATGGCCCCACTCACATGACTGAGGCTGTGGAGCTAGCCATGGGCCGAGGAGCCTCAGTTCTCCTTTGTGTGGTCTCCCACTTCATGTGGTCTCTATGTGTGCAGTCTTCTAGGCTGGGCTTCCTTACATAATGGTATGCAGATTCCAAGAAAATGAAAATGGAAGCTATAAGACCTGGTAAGGCTTGTCACATTGTCACTCCTACCATATTCTACTAGCCAAATGAGTCACAAGGCCAGCCCATATTGAAAGGGAGGGGAAATAAACTCCACCTCTTGATGGGACGTGTGGCACACACATACAGGGATGGGAGGAATTGCCAGGGCCATCTTTGCAGATAATCAACCACAGGGGCCAATCAATAGTACCAACCTTGTAAGGTTGTTATGAGGATTAAATAAATTAATACATGTAGAGCATTTAGAACAGCACCTGGTACAGAGCTAGTACTCAATAAGTGTTCAGTTTTATTATAGTTATTCTTGTGTCACTTCAGGAACATATATAGTACATGTTTACTCCTTGAATTAAAGACTTCCCAGCAATGTAGTCGTCAGCAAATCAGGCACCCTAGTGATAAACTGTCTCCTCCCAACCCGAGGCGCGGCCTGTGTACGTCAGTTCTATCCAGTCGTGGGGTTGACTTGGGCCGTCCCTGGATGTTTTCCATTCCGTATCACCATGCAGTCTCAGCTTTCCTGTGTGAGGGACACATCCATCGTCTGCCTCTGCTCTCTCAGACTTTCTTCCAAGGGTCACCCGGCTTGGAGGCTTTTGACTCCTCATTGACCCTGGCCTGTTCTGAATTCTTCAGGTCACCATAGAGGTGGTGGACGGTCCTGACTCTGAAGCAGATAAAGATCAGCCTCCGGAGAATAAGCCCAGCTGGTCAGTCCCATCCCCTGACTGGCGGGCCTGGTGGCAGAGGTCCTTGTCCCTGGCGAGGGCCAACAGCGGGGACCAAGACTACAAGTACGACAGTACTTCAGATGACAGCAACTTCCTCAACCCCCCCAGGGGGTGGGACCGTCCGGCCCCAGGTCACCGGACTTTTGAAACCAAAGAGCAGCCAGAATATGGTGAGTTTACCACCCAGTAATATAAAATTGATGGGGAGAATAAATGAGGATGATGAGACCTAACGGACATGGAGCCAAGCAAAACTCAGTTTACAGTATGCGGCTTTTGGTCTTCTATGAGGCATACCTCATAAAGACTCTTCCACAGAAGCCCCAAGGAGGCACTGGTGGCCATGTTTTTCTGGAAAGACTATAATTTTAAAATCATACCAATTATCCTAGGAGATAATTTTTTTTAGTTAGTGGTCTTTGAGGCTCTGCCTCCCCCCCCCCATTTTAGTTTTTTTTCCTAAAAATGAAGAAATCACCAAATTAACTTCCCTGTACATTTAACTATAAAAATTCATACTAAAAATCAATTTAGTATAAGAGGTATGTCCAGCTGCTTTCTTTGACCAGGCAATAATGTTATATTTACTTGGGAGTGGAGTGGCCCTTGGGAATCCACATAAACATGTGTGTCACGAATTGTCAAAGTTAGACCTCCCCTCCAAATAAATTTCAAGACCCCAAGTTGGGACATATAGTTTCCCATGTTTTTAGAGTAGGGTAGGTGAGGTAACAAACAAATTCTAAATTCAATGACTTAAAATAATAAAAGTTCATTTCTCACTTAAGTTGGGATGGGAGACAGGCTGGGAGGGAAATCAGCTCCACTCCGTCATTCAGGGACCCAGGCTTCTTCCATCTTGAAGCTCCACCAACTGTTAGGGCCTGAGAGTTATCCACTGGATGCTCTGCATCTGGCTGGCAGCCAAGTAGAGAGACAGAGCCTGGAAAAGGCACACTCGCTCTTAACTGCCTCTGCCTGGAGATGACACAACACATCTGCTCAAATTCTATTGGCAAGACTTGATCATATGACCCCATATATATGCAAGGGAGGCTGGGAAATGTTTTCTGTGTATCCAAGGAGAAGAGGAAACAGATTTGTCAAGCATCTGGCCAGCCTTCATGGGGGATCGGGCAGTGTGCCTTGTATTATAAGAATATTTGATATCTTACAAATGCATCCATCATCATGATGTTCTTGTGGCTTCACTATAAGCAGACTTAAGAGCAAACACTATATGATAAGGATGACTTGTCTTGCACCATTTGCACTCTCACCCTTACCCCGTTTTTCAGCTGAAAGACCAGTTGTATATTGGAGAGTCATCTCTGCCCACTAATAGATCATTCTAGGCAACTTCCAAAACAGTAAGATAATTTTTTTTCAGCCACATCATTCAGTTGTTCAACAGACATGTCTTTATTAAGAGCATGTCTTGTGTCTAGCACTGTGCTAGATGCTGGGAATCCAAAAATGAGTAAGACACAGTCCTTCCCTAAAGAGAATCTCACTTATCTGTGGACAAAAGGGGAAAAATTAACTGATAGAGCAAAATAATGTTATTGTAGAGATACACATCAAATGCTAGAGGAGCAGAAAGAGAGCTCCCATACCCCATCTAGCCCAGAGGAAGTCTAATTTATCTACTTTCCAAGAAGAAGGACTGGGAATAGTAGCCAATCTTTATATAGCACTTACCACACACCAGTTCCTCTTCATGGCATCTCATCTATATTAGCTCATTTATGCAACTCTCTGAGGCAGGTACCTCACTTTACAGATGGGAAAACTGAAGCCTAGAGAATTTAAACAACTTGACCTCAAGAGTCAAGACCTAGGATTCATCTCAGACAGTCTGGGTCCAGACACTGTTCTCTTAACCACTATGTTATTCTGCCTCTCTGGGGAAAAAAATAGCACATCTTTTAGGAAAGTAGAGTGGTTGTAGAAATGGACACAGATTGGAAGATAGGAATGGGAGGAAAAGTCTGGTGCTGAACTTAACGTTGGAGTCTCTCTTAGTAACTTCCCATCATTGGACTAGATGTGTCAGGATTGCTACTTTATAAAGACGATCTTGTCCCTTAGGATATCTCTAAGGCAGTGCTTCTCAGACTTCAATGTGCACACAAATCTCCTGAGGGTCTTGTTAAAATGCAGCTTTTGATGCAGTAGATGTAAGAAAGGGGCAGGAGCCCTGGTGAAGCTGACGCTGCTGGTCCTCGGACCACACTTTGAGTAGCAAGATTCTAAGCATGTTGTAGATGTTCAGTAGCATTTGCGAAATGAGTAATGATTACTGCTTCTCACACTGGCTTACAAGGAACATGTGGTTTCCAGAATTCCATATAGCATCAGATGAGCTGAGACCTCCTTTATTTCAATGAACAAACTCTTGAGCAATTTCTGAGTATTTATCCCTGTGTTGGGTGCTGTGGAGGACACAGGGGGAGAACATACAGCCCAGGAAGCTGAGGTTCATGCAATGGTAAAGCAGCGCAAGTCACTGTGCCTAAGTGCTGGCTGCCTTGTCTGAAACGGGCTCAAATTGCCACAGGAACTAGTCTTTGTGGAGGACATAGATCTCAGATTTTTTAAGGTAGGATTTTTAATAAGAATTTAAATGTTTATGGCCAAAGAGTATTTAAAAAAATCCTAGGTGAAATAAATAGAATATAATTGTATCTTTAGAATAAATTATAAAATACACAACAGAAGATAGTTAGACCCAATAAACACATAATGTGACCATGAATTGGCTCAACTTTGGACTGTGTTTGACATACTGCATTTTTTTTTTTTTTTTTTTTTTTTTTTTGTGAGGGACATCAGCCCTGAGCTAACATCCGTGCTACTCCTCCTCTTTTTGCTGAGGAAGACTGGCTCTGAGCTAACATCTATTGCCAATCCTCCTCCTTTTTTCCTTCTCCAAAGCCCCAGTAGATAGTTGTATGTCATAGTTGCACATCCTGCTACTTGCCGTATGTGGGACGTGGCCTCAGCATGGCCGGACAAGCGGTGCGTCGGTGCGCGCCCGGGATCCGAACCCGGGCCACCAGGAGCGGAGCGTGCGCACTTAACCGCTAAGCCACGGGGCCGCCCGACATACTGCATTTTAAATAATTCTGTGTAGGGGCCGGCCCTGTGGCTTAGCAGTTAAGTGTGTGCGCTCCGCTACTGGCGGCCCAGGTTCAGATCCCCGGCGCGCACCGACACACCGCTTGTCCGACCATGCTGAGGCCTCGTCCCACATACGGCAACTAGAAGGATGTGCAAGTATGACATACAACTATCTACTGGGCCTTTGGGGGGAAGAAAAGGAGGAGGATTGGCAATAGATGTTAGCTCAGAGCTGGTCTTCCTCAGCAAAGAGAGGAGGATTAGCATGGATGTTAGATCAGGGCTGATCTTCCTCACAAAAAATAAATAAATAAATACTTCTGTGTAGATACTTAAGGTATCATCCAGGGCAAAAAAGAGTCTAAATAAATATTTTTCTGTCAAACAGTAGTATACTTTTCCCAAAATTGTTCTGAATAACCTGCATGATGAAATCAGATGGGCACTGCTTATAATCTGGGTTGGGACTCAGTTCTTTGCAGTTCTCTAACTGGTCATGGTCCTACTTTAATAGAACATTTCACAGTGATTTTTTTCAAGGATTTTTCTTTGTAATTTTGAATTATGGCCACATAAGTGAGTGTCTTAATGAAAGGAGGCCGACTTAGGCCAGAATCAAAGCTGTTGGAATACCAGGATATAGAACAGGATAGGGCAGGAGAAGAGAGACCTCAGATCTAATCCCAGCTCTGCCAAGTTTGAGCTTTGTGACCTTAGGCAGGTACCTTAACCTCTCTGAGCCTCAGTTTCCTTATCCATAAAAGGAGGATTTTTCTACCTACCTTGCAGGATTATTATAGGAGTTAAGTCTCTGTGTTTAGATGGAGCAGCTGGTTAAAGCAAGCCCTCAGTAATTGGTAGCCACTATCATCTAGGATTAGTGGTAGAGGCTTGCCAGTGGCCCTGAAACTGAGTAATAACTACTGTAAAATTTCAAATGACATCCTTGAACCCCAGCTCTTAGCCCACTGCGCTGTGGATTGTTTTCGTCCCTCACTGAGCTCTTTGATGTCACAGATAGGGGCTGTCAAAGCACCATATAAATGTTTACAAGGACTGTTGTTCACTGTCTTTGTTGTCATCTTTGCAATTACTGCTGCTCACGTTTGTTTTCTGCTTGAGTGATGCTCCCTATAGATGAGCAAATGAGAACAGCCTTGTTTTATTGTAACAGAAAGGAATACTGCCCTCAAAGCCTTGTCCCACAGTCAGAAATTCCCTTTCTGTCCTGTGAACACATTGAACAAATAGAAATCTCCAAGAGGAGAGTCTTTGCTGGGATGTTCGTCTGAGGCAGTGTGCTATAGAGGCTTCCGGGCCATGAGCTGATGTACACTGTTTTCCCTACGAGGCTGCTTCATTCCATTGCTGGCCCAATAGAAATGATTAGCCACATGGCTATCTAAATGTTTGTGCCTGACTTTAGGGGACCAATATAAAAAAAATGTTTAGAAAATAAATGCTTTGTGAGCATTTAAAATAAAGACGTGGAGCAAGCTACTCACTGGGATAATAAATCCTTCCTGGTTCCAGAATCTGCTAGCCATCTAAGAGTGTATTTTAGGGAGAATTTTATAGTGTATTTGTAACGGTTAGCTTTTGCTGCTTAAGAAACCACCCCCAGGGCCGGCCCCGTGGCTTAGTGGTTAAGTGCGTGCACTCTGCTGCTGGTGGCCCGGGTTCGGATTCCGGGCGCGCACCGACGCACCGCTTCTCTGGCCATGCTGAGGCCGCGTCCCACATACAGCAACTAGAAGGATGTGCAGCTATGACATACAACAATCTACTGGAGCTTTGGGGGGAAAAAATAAATTAAAAAAAAAAAAAAAGAAACCACCCCCAAAATTTAGTGGCTTAAAAGAACAAATATTGACACACAACTATCTACTGGGGCTTTGGAGGAAAAAATAAATAAATAAAATCTTTAAAAGAACAAATATGTTCTCTCTCAAAAGTCTGCAGGTTGTCTGGACTGTTCTGGGCTGGCTTGGCTGGGGCTGCATGGTCTAGCATGGTTTCTCTCACAATGATATGGTCCCAGCCTGACAGCCGAGGGTGCTGAGATGGCCAGGACCTCTCTCCACCTAGTCTCTCATCCTCCAGGACACTAGCCCAGGCTCTTCACATGGCGGTGGAAGAGTTTCCTACAGCAAGAAGGCAAGCCCTAATGCACAAGCGCTTTTCCAGCCTCTGTTTGCATAATATTTGCTATTTTCCCATTGGCCAAATAAGTCCCATGGCCCGGGCTGGGGTCAGTGTGAGACAGTCATCACCAAAGCAGTGGATATGGGGAGAAGAATTATGGAAGTCATTTTTTGCATAATTAGACACAGAATTAGCATTCAATAATTTAGATCCAAGAAACCAAAACAAGAAATACCTCATGCAGAGATTCCAATATAAGCCTCATGGTGCATTTAATGCTAACATCTTAAAGTTTAGGGATGGTATTTCCCAAAATTAGCTCTCCATATTACTGTAACAGGGAGGATAGGTTGCAAGAGATTTCTAGATGGTTGAGGCCCCATTGCTTCTGCTGAGTCAACCAAGACACCACTTGGCATCATTGGACTATGTTTTTTGCAGGTACCCGCCACTCAGGTGACACGAACTCTACCTCTGTGATGTAATAAGCCTTTTCTGGCTGACCCACTGCCCCCTTTTTATGAGTCTAAAGACATTACAATCTTTACTTGTGACTTGTTGTTGTTGTTGTTCCCTTTAACAAAATCTGGCCTCAGTGGTGCATGCAGGATGTGGTTGAATGTGTTCACATCTGTATAACCCGCTGCACCTGGATGCCCCTGCTGATGAGAGTGCAGTTATGTGAGTGTTCCAGGCACATCTCTGTTGTTCTCTGAGAGATTACCACGAGATACCAGACCACAGAGGTCTTGGGGGGAGCAGCAATGGCTCCAACCTCAGTGGTTTCTCTCTCTCTGGAAGCAGCATGTCTCTCCAGTTCTACTGTGTTGATGCCTAGTGCGAGATGGGAGAGATGAAGAAGGCTGACACTGGGGAAGCAGGCCCAACTCCCTTACACGAGGCAGTAGTTTCAAACATCTGCTTGGCCGTGTGTTTGGAAAACCATTTCTTAGAAGAAAATCAAAGTTTGGAAAAATTCCTTTTTGGGAGGGGGGAGAGATGGATGCCGCCCCTGGGGGCAGGCAAGTTGTGAGCAAACTCTCCGCTCTGGGTTAGGGAAGAGGACACACTCTGAATCCTCTCGACTCTGCTTAATGGGCTGAGGAGACTCAGCGGCCCTGTGTTTGCCTGAAGAGTGTTCAGAGTGAACGCCATGTAAACAACAGCCTGGGAGGCTGGCACGGGGCCCGCAGTTCAGGTAGAAACATGTGTGGACTACATTCTTGCTGGGCCTATGTAATAACAATCACCATGACCTGTTATGAACAGACAGGACCCCTTCTCTGCAAGGCACATGCCTGTAGCTCTGTACTTGGCACCAGCAGAGGCCCCAAGGCTGTAGGAAGATTTGGATAAACCAGGAGAAATTATTACAGAATGGAGATGCGGCAGAAGGAGTCAGCTTTAGAGACGAAGGGCTTAGCACTAGAGCCCAAGCTTTCCTTTCTGTTACCCTTATGACCTTGGATAAGTCACTCAACCACTCCAGGGCTTAGTTTCCTTACTTTTAAAGAAAGGAAGTTAGTCTAGATAATATACCATCCTCTCTCACATCTCTCACACTCCCAGGCCCCCCGAGCCTGGTCTGATTCTCCTTTTTCCATACCACTCATCAACTTCTAATACACTGCATAATTTACTCATTTTTTGTGTTTATTGAGTATTATCTGACTCTTCTCACTAAAATATTAGTTCCCCCAGGGCAGGGGTCTTTGAAAGTTTTATTTAATGATGTATCCCACATACTTAGAATTGTGCCTGGCATATAATGGGGCCTCAGTAAATACTCATTGGATGAATGTTGAGTAATGACCTCAAAGGACCATTTCTAGCTTTATCATTGTGTATCAGTTATCTACTGCTGCGTAACAAACCATCCCAAAACTTGGTGGCTTAAAACAACAGAAGTTTATTATTTCTCATGATTCTATGGCTCAGGAGTTCAGGCTAGGGCCCCCTGGGCAGCTCCTCTACTCCTGATGGCATCTGCTGCATTCAGCTATGCACTGAGAGGGGTGGAAGAGCTGGAAAAAGGCTTCACTCACATGTATAATGTCTTGGTGGCCCTTCATGTAGCTCCTCTCTTTCCATGTGGTGTCTCATAACTCACAGGTTTAGCCTCAGCTTCTTTCACAGTGACTGGATTCCCCAGAGCAAAAGTCAGAAGTTGCGAGGCCTCTTAAGGCCAAAGCCAGCCCAGATTCAAGGAAAGGGGAAATAGATTGACTCTTTCTCTCCCTCTCTCTCTCTCCCCCCCTCTCTTCTCAATGAATGAATGCACAGGGAGGGAAGGAACTGATGATGGTAGTCTTTGGAAACTACCTACTGTATTATTCCATGATCCCATGCTCTGCAAATGTATGCATTCTCAATAAGCACATACTTGGCACCTTCTTGGGTCAGGTCCTGGCCATGTGCTGATCACTAGAATGCCGAAAATCTCAGACAGAGTCCCTGTGTTCACAAAGCTAATTGCTAAAATGAACCCTGGAGCCATAAGCCTTTTGACTCCAGCTGGCATCTGGTTCCCTCCAACAGTGAGAACAATGGAAGTGGACAATTGGCAGGTTGCTTGATGGAGGTGGGGGGTGATCTGGGGACTCTTGGGCCGAGGTTGGTGACTGTCTCCCTGGCTTCCTTCCAGATTCCACAGACGGTGAAGGCGACTGGAGTCTCTGGTCTGTTTGCAGCGTCACCTGTGGGAACGGCAACCAGAAACGGACAAGGTCTTGTGGCTACGCATGCACTGCCACAGAGTCTAGGACGTGTGACCGTCCAAACTGCCCAGGTGGGTTTGCGCAGCGATGTGGCTCCAAGTTCAAGGGGAAGCTTTTAATTGGTATTTAAAAACTTACAGAAATTGACTTTTTAAAAGACAACCATCTTCCTAATAAGAATTCTGACTACACTGAGACAACAAGAGACAGTTAACGAGCTTAAAGGATGAAAAGAGGGATTTTCTGAGTCTTAAGCACAATTGCAATAGCCGTGACCTAGAAGACAATGCCATGGTGTACTTACTTAATTTAAAGGAGGGACTGTGGTTAACTGGGGCCTTTGATGTGAGATTTGTTGTGCCTTGAAGAGACACGTGAAAACAGACATTCATGGTCTGACAAGAAAGCCAGGATGAGAGGCTCGGCAGCCATCTACAGAAAAACCAGGCAGTTAGCCCCATCTGTACTGCCAGAGAAGTGCTGAATGCCCCCAAGGGAGCAAATGGGGGCAACTTGGCAGTTAATTGTTGCTTTAAACTGCACTGTCAGTGTTTTGGAAAGTAAACTAATTGCAAACTTGGTGAGAGGCCATATTGGAGAAGAAAAATAATTGTGACTGTAGCAGTGTTGTCAAACTGCAGCCTGTTTTTGTATGGCCCACACATTTTTCTACCCCCAGAAACTCTGTTCTCAAACCATAAGGCTGAGATTTGGAACAAAAAAGTAGTAGAAGAGCAAAGGGGTTTCTGAGGAGAGAGAAAGGATGAGATCGGGCATGTATATGTTAGCAAAGGGGCGTGTGCAGAACATAAATGTAAGAAGTGGCAGTTCTGGCTCCCTGTCAGCCATGCAGATGGATTTCAAAGAGTGGAACCACCAGCAAGATGCTTTTCCTAATCTCTCGCATGCTCATCACGATGACGCTGAGCTGGGAGTCTCGTAGGATGGGATTTGGATGGGTAGAAATAAACCAGTAAATAATAATAATACGAGAAGGAGGAAGAGGAGAAGGATAGGAAGAACATGAAGAAGAGGAGAAGTTGAAGAAGAAGATGATGATGGAGATAAGAAGAAGCAAAAGAAAATGAAGATAAACATGAATAAGATGAAGATGAAGATATTGAAGAAAAAAATGAAAAAGATGATAATAAAGATGGTGAAGAATAGGATTTTTTTTTTTGAGGATTTAAATACCAAGCTAATTTCTAAGGTCTTTATATGTATTATTTAGTTTAATCTTCATAATAGCCTCATGAAACAGGTATTTATTATTGTACTCATTTGGCAGCTGTGGAAACTAAGGCACAGGGTTAACTTGCCTAGAGTCACGCAGGCAGCAAGTGGTCAATCTGGGATTTGAATCCAGGCAGTCTAATCCCAGAGTCCATGTTTTAACCATCAAACTATTCCACCACCACCAGGGGGACGGGTATGGGGCTCAGCCACACATGGATACAGACAGCATTTAATTTCAGGGCTTGAGGACTTGCCTGTTGTTTTCTCTTCCAGAGCTGGCATCCAGATGCCAAGTAGTAAACTTAGATATTTTGTTGGGGGAAGGCTCTTCTCTGCCACCATTTTGAATGTTTCCTTCTCGTTGTCTCTCACCACTGGGAGCAGTGTGACCAGCAGCCCTTCTCGTACATTTTCTTTTCATCTGACTTTCTCTTCCTTTCATCCTTTCTGCCTCTCTGTTCCTGGCTTTTCCAGCTTTTCAAGGATCCCTTGCAACAGGAAAAATTTCCTTTTGCTGATTTTCCGCCTTACTGGAAACAATCATGGGGCAGGCAGTCTCCCTGGCCTGGCAATGATTACACTGTAAAAGTATGTCCCCGAGGTTGAGCCTACAAATAAGTTTTAGGGGCCTCACATAAAAGCAGAGAGAGCCCCTTAAAGGCAGTCAAGTCATGCCAAGCAGGGCGGACAAGGCTCTCCAACAAATGGTCCCCGTTCTACCGCTGCTGCATCTTCTGACTGCCTCAGCTTGCACAGGATTCCTGTTTGTAAAGGGTGAGGGTGGTTGTTTGGGGAGGACAGGCGAGCCAGGAAGTTTGAGGTAAGCTGGGTTCACTTCTTCAGAGCAAGTAATGACAAGCCCAGCTTATTCTTTTTGAAGCATCATCAGCAGTGCTCAAAGTCCTAGGATCTGAGGTATCTAGTCTTTAGCTGTGGACTGCTGCATCCTCAAAATAAGCTAGACGAATATTCAAGGAAAAAGTATCAGCTAACACTTACCACTTACTACTCTAAGGACTTTCTTTACACGTAACTCATTGAATCCATTCAACCCTAGGAGGTGGGTCATTTAGTTCTCCCCATTTTACAGATGTGGAAACTGAGGCACACAAAGGTTAAGTGGCTTGCCCAAGGTCACACAGCTAGTAATAATTTGAACCCAGTTAGTCCTTAAGACTGGTATTGACCACTACACTCTGCTGCCTCTAGTTTAGTTTACCACTCTCACACCACCAGACAGACAGCCATCCTGACATGTGTGCCCCACAGAACAAAACCCCATTCCTGGGCCCAGTGAATGAGTTCCTTAGGACTCGTTCAGGTGCATTTGTATCTGATTTCATGCTGCAAATGGTATCTGGGGTTTTAATTTATTTTATGCTCTACTACCTGCTTTTTACTGTTTCCTCTGTTGGCAAGGTTCTTCCCATGAGTAGTAATGAATACAAAAAAGGCTGTGTTCAGGTGTATTTGTTTTTTTATTTGCGGGAGTAGGGGGTAACTTTTTCCATATAACTAGGGAAAAATGAGCTCCTGTCTGTGTTTAGGAATTGAAGACACCTTCAGGACAGCTGCCACCGAAGTGAGTCTGCTTGCAGGAAGTGAGGAGTTTAATGCCACCAAACTGTTTGAAGTTGGTAAGAAGACTTTTTTCATTTTTATCCAAATATTGACTTAGTGTTTTGGATATTCCTTTTGCCTTTGCAATGGCATCCTTGGATCCATTTAAATGTTTCGCTTTCCTCCTATGGGGTCCAATTCCCTCAGCATAGTTCTTGCTCACCGAATATACTGCAAGCAAGAGAGAGCAGTCTTGTGCCTGCACCAGACTGAGCTGAGCAGCCCTCTGTGTCCGCCCTGCTAGCTACACAGCTTCCACAACAAGTAGGCAGGGACCACTCTTCCCTTAGCATGAGATCAGTGCATAGTAGGGCCTCAAGCTGCGTAGAATTTGTTCTCACTGCCTTGATTGAGTGTCCCCATGAAGTCAAGAAATGGGGAATCTCAGTTTGCAGTAAAGAGAAGGAGGGAGGGAAAAAGAGAACTTTCAATATTATGCCTGCCTCGCTCCACCACATTAATTTTTTGTAAACCTTTGGGACACCCTGCTACTCATCTGCTGGAAAGTGCTAGAGCAAATACAATAAACATGGACCAAACAAAATTGAAAGTGACTACTCAGGTATTAGACGAGAGTTTGCTTTTTAAAAATAGCTTCATGTGTTTCTGGATGTAATTCTATATCGCTGAAAGGTAAAACTCCTCCTGCCCCATTTCTTTTTGCCACCCCAAAATTCTTTCTTAGCTTCTTCACTTCTGCTCTGCCTCTTCAGCCAGACTGGAGGTAGTCTGGAAATTCCACGTTACCCAGGGCTTCTATCTCAGTCCTTCACACACACAATCAGACTGTCTTTAGTAGAAGCCTTCTGCAAACACAATGCATTTGATCCTTAAAAAAAAACAAAAAAATAAAAATTAAAGACTAAATGTGGGAATTTTTCATAAAATAGTAGAGCAGCAAAAGAGGTCTGTTGGGGCAGAGAGCTTCTCAGGCCTCCCCGTATCACACCCCACAGGCAGGCAGTTGTTTGCCCTTTGCAGAGAATGGATCCAGTTGCACAAAGTGACACCCGATGTGTGGCTAAGGCCACACAGGGATGAGTAGAAATGGTGTATCACTCAGGTTTCTGGCAGGAACAAACATGGCATGCTCAAATCCAGTAATTGAGAAGCATTTGATGAGAGGCTGTTTGCGAAGGTATGAGCAGGGTGGATGGAAACCAAGAAGGGATTGTACAGAACCCTGGGGCTGGCAACAGTGGGGAGCCCTTACCACCCATTGGCCTGAAGGGACTAGGGGAAGGGGTGGTTACCAGAACCCACAAGGTAGCTGTGTGGAGAGGGCTACCTGACAGCACTCCTGGCTCTCAGAAGGATGTAGCCAACCTGCAACAGTGAGGAAGGAGCCAAGGGAACAAATACCCTGACCTCACGCTCCTCCCTCCCTCTGGGCTCTGGCCAGGTCCTCCCATTGGCTCAACCCAACTAGAAGTCAGGGCTCAAGGAGCCCGTCGACACAGTCCACATAGGACAACCTTTCATGGCAAGGAAAAACATGAAATGAGGAGACAGAAGGACAAACAGAAGATGCCCAGCAGAGATGAGAAAAGCTTGACTTGTACAAGTTCAAGTTTCTTAACCTAATACTGCCTCAGTTTTCTGATCTGTAAAATGCTATGAGGCAATAGTGCCTACCTTATAGAGTTATTGTAAAATTAAATGAGTTGATATTTGTAAAGCATTTAGAACATGTCCACCATACTGATGTCCTATAGGCACATGAATTATGATGACCTTCCACTCTGGAGGGAAAATACAAAGCCATTTTCTGGGGCCTCACTGAATTTTGTTTTTGAACACCCTGCCCTCTGAGGGAGACCCCCACTGCCTTTGCAGACACACACTTCCCAGGATGGAACCTCCATTCTCTCAGCAACTGCTCAGTCAGAGGCTCGCAGGAGTGGAATCATAGAACTCACAGCCGAAAGGAGCCTGAGCATATCCCCACTGGCGACACCCTGGACCATGTTCTGTGTACCCTCTGCGTTCCCGCTAGTTTAATCCTCATCGCACTGTATGAGACAGATGCTATCTTCATCCTCAATTTAGAGGGGAGAAAACTGAAGCACAGTGAGGGAGAATACGTTGGTCAAGGTCACAGAGCTACTAAATGGTTGAGTTGAGATTCAATCCCAGGCACTCTTGCACAAAATCCCACATTTCATTTTAGGCCAGGCCTGTCTGACCTCCTGAGAGATGCCCCATCTCTCTCTTCCTCATTTCACTGAAGAGAAACCTGAGCCCACCTCCAAGCTGCCCACATCCTGACCACTTGATTTCCACTCATAACACCACCAGCCTCTCAGGCACCTGGGTCAGAGCTGGAGTCACTTCTGATGTCTTTGTCCCTTCACCCCCAAGCCCACCAAGGCCTGGCAGCTCGAACTCTTTGACTACTCTTGATCCCACCTGCTGTTCCCTCCCAGAGTATCTCACCTGGACTCTGACAATTGATATCAGCACTGAATTCATTTTCTTACTGTAGAGCTCAGTTGATAGCTCACTATCCCTCAAAAACCTTCAGTGGTTCCCTAGTGCCCTCTGAATAAGCCTAAACTGCATTGAAGACCTCCATGATCTGACACTACAACCTTACTTTCCTATATCCTCTGCTCCAGTGTAACTGAACATGTTCCCAACCCCAGACAACCCCCCCAGACTTCTGCTCAACCTTGGTTTGCACAATTAATGCTCACCTGGAACGCCCTCCCCTCGCCTTCCTCCGTCTCTGCTAGTATAGTCTATGTCAGTTTGGGTCCTCCGAGAAGCAGATACCAAGTCGGGATTGGATATTCAAGAGATTTATTGGGGAAACCCCTGGGAAGGATAAAGGGAAAGGCAGCTGGAGTAGGTAGGGAGAGCTTTCAGACCAAGGTGCAGGCCTGACCCCTGCAAAGGGAGAGATGGAAGGAAGGAGGCCTGGGAAGGCAGAGCCTGAGTGCAGCTCTGAGAAAGTCTCAGCCATGCCAACAGGGCACCCCCAGCAAAGGCTGCCTGTTGGAGGAGCCCCTCGTTGGGCAGCAGCCCCACCATGCTCAGTCATCAGCCGAGAGCAGCCCTGGGGGAACATAACCTTATGTGAACACCACAGCAGATCCAAAGCTGCTACAGCTGGAGGCCACCAGTAAGCAAAGTGCCCACAGCAGGTTTTCTTGTAGGAGCTCTGAGCAGGACACCTGTGGCCACCAGGCAGCCCTGCTGAGCCTCAGGACCAGCACGGTGTTGTATGCTCCCTGACGCACCCCCTTGACCTGCACTATAGAAATGACATTGCATTGTCATGAACACCCATGGGGCTTTTGGCCTTTGCCCTCCTTAATGCACCCCCACATTCTACCATGGTTGGCTTCCTTAGATATGCCTCATCTTACCCATTGCAGATTACCAGGCAGACTCTATAGGTAAACCACCTCTGCCCACACCATGTCCCTACACCGCAGCCTGACCTCCAAGTGGTAGCCCCTGTGGTTCTTTGCCTGAGGGCTTTCTCTGGCCCCCAGAGCCCACCAGCCCATGAATGCATGGTGGGCTGGAAGTCCAGGAACAGCCCCCTATCACTGATGATCCCCACCAAATAAAAAACAAATCTTTATTCAAAGACTTTATTCAAAGGACTATTGCAAGGGGGAAAGGGACTACAGAGCGAATGCTGTACCACAGGCCTGCAAGCATCTCAAGGGTTTGGCAAAAGGGTTTCTTTTATAGAGCGGTGCATAAGGCTAGACAGAACCCAGAGGGATTAAAGGGCGGCGAGATCACATAGGAGATCAGAGAATGTTCTACCCCGAGAACATATTTTCTGGGAGGGACCCTTAAGGAGAGGCTGTGTGCTGGCTCAGGCTGAGGGTCGGGCAAAGTTCAGGGACTTGAAGGAAGGAGAAAAGATTAACCAAAGTTTAGTTAATATGCATTTTGTTCCAATTGATCAGTAAGGACAGGCAGTTTAACTAATCATTTCTGAGGCAAAGAAAGGGAATTTGGAGGGTCCATGTCCGGCTTTGTCACAGGCAAACAAGAGGGCATCCATGCATCTTATCTAAGTCATATGGAGAAGGATGGTTCTGCAGTAAGTGGTTTTCCAGAATGTACAAGGGTGGGAGGAAGTCTTAACCTTGGCTGTTTCCCAGGCTCACAGGGCTTGGGTAAAGTTTGACCCTGGCACTGGATGGGATAACTGAGATGTTCTCTGTGCAATTTCCCAGGTCCCAGTGGGATTAAGCTCCAGTTCATTGCAGTGGTTACTTGTTTGATCCACACCCTATAAAGCTGCCCTCCCTCTCTGAACCACCTCTCTTCTCCCCTGCTGGTGTTTCCCAGAGTCACCTCCCAAACAACCATTTTCACTGGAATCTTTGTCTCAGGGTCTGGGAAAACACAAACTAAGACCATCACTAAACCAGAGGTCCCAGACTCGGCTGACTAAGAGACCAAGAGCAAACACCCATGAGTGAAGCAGTCAGGCAGGGACTGTGGTGAACTGGGGCTCTCCTTCCCTGATCAAGAAGTGGTCACTGTTTGCCTGTTCACAGGGGCAATGCAGGACCAGCATAAACATGGTGGAAACCAGGAATCTACGTGAATAAGTGGAATCACCTGATTCTTAAATGTTGGCAATATTTTTTAATACTGTAAAAGCCAAACATAACACCTCTGGGGGCGAGTTCTGGCTCGAAGCCCACAGTTCAGTAGCCTCTGGCCTAAATGTTAAGTTCTCTAAAAGCAGGGGCCAGCAGCATCTTCCTCTTGGAGGCATCTTATCATACGGATTTGCATACAATGATGGTTACTGTTTCATGCCCAAGATTAAGAGGTTAGGCCACCAGCCCTAGTTTAAACCAGTCAGTGAGTGGCAGAAATAAAACTTAGTCCTACCAGGATTCCTTTGAGGCATTTTCTACCACTCACCACTAAGTATTTAGAGAGAAGATTCAAAATGGCCCTCTGAATTATTGTTAATTTTGTTATGGGTGATAATGGGGTTATGGTTATCTAGGAAACCATAGAAAATACAGTTTATCCTCCTTTTTTCTGTAGATGCCTACTAAAATTTAAGGGAAATAATATCACATATTTACCAAAAAAAAATTTTTAATGAAACAAATATAATGATGGTAAAGTCTAGGTGATGGCATACAGGCAGTCATTGTATAAGTATATTCTCTCTACTTTTCTGTGTGGCTGAAAATTTTTCATAATATAAATTGAGGAGTTGAAGGGCCTGGAGAGCCTTGTGAACAAAGTTCCCAAGTTCAAGGGAGGTGAGCATGTTCCATGGCCTCGAGGTTCCAGGGGCTGCAGGGGTTGACTCTGGGAGGGGAGGGGTTGACTTCAACGTCACACAGCGGCAGGTTTTGCATGTGGTGAGAGGGTTTCTCTGTGGCCTTTTTCAGACACAGACAGCTGTGAGCGATGGATGAGCTGCAAAAGCGAGTTCTTAAAGAAGTACATGCACAAGGTGATCAATGATCTGCCCAGCTGCCCCTGCTCCTACCCCACCGAGGTGGCCTACAGCACGGCCGACATTTTCGACCGCATCAAGCGCAAGGACTTCCGCTGGAAGGACGCCAGTGGGCCCAAGGAGAAGCTGGAAATCTACAAGCCCACCGCCCGGTACTGCATCCGCTCCATGCTGTCCCTGGAGAGCACCACGCTGGCCGCCCAGCACTGTTGCTATGGCGACAACATGCAGCTCATCACCAGGGGCAAAGGGGCAGGGACGCCTAACCTCATCAGCACCGAGTTCTCCGCGGAGCTCCACTACAAAGTGGACGTCCTGCCCTGGATTCTCTGCAAGGGCGACTGGAGCAGGTATAACGAGGCCCGGCCTCCCAACAACGGACAGAAATGCACGGAGAGCCCCTCGGATGAAGATTACATCAAGCAGTTCCAAGAGGCCAGGGAGTATTAAAGAGACGCCACCTCTGTTGTTTGTGACACAAATGGACTGCACTGAGCTGCCGCCTGGAGCAGAGTCCCTCTTATCTGCATTCATGTACATTTGTATATACCACATGAGTATTTTTCATAAATTACACTGGGGGTGTGCGCCAGGCCCGGGTGACTGCCATCTGAAGCCACCTTTGCCATCTACAATGCCCACAGACCTCCTTGGAACGCCTCCTAGGGATGATATCGGCAGGAGTATGAGGACAAAGAAGCCAGAAGAAGAACCTGGAAGCCACAGCAGTGGGATTCAGTTCACACCCCAGATCCAGTATTTCTGAGAGGAACCAAGGGGGAAAAAGACTCAAGTTGTAAACCTTATAAGCAGTTTTTATATATAACTTATTTAATATGAATGTGACTTATACGTAACCTTTTCTCTGGAGTTGCCGTGAAACTATTTAATTGCTTCTGTGAGAGTTCAGAAAGGGGCTTAGGGAGGTGGAAGAGAAAGGGAATTTTGTAATGACTTCTTTCAAGATAAATAACTCAATGGAAATGTTTCAAAACAAGAAAACACCCACCTTAAACCAAATGTTATTTAGTCATGAGGCACCTTGTTGAAGTCTCTGCTTCCAAAATGCCCTTGCCTCCGACTGGGTAGCGGGTGCGGGACAAATGGGTATCTTAGGAGAAAATCTGAGGCCTGGTTTTAAATAGGCTTTAAAATAAAAGGCCAATATTAGCATAATGCTATGATTCCAGTAAAAGGCTTCAGAACAGCAGAATTTCTGCTCATGCCTTAGTAGGTTCAGAAGGCTGCAGGAAGGTCAGACATAAAAACAGGGAGTAGCACTTTTCCAAAGAAAAAAGCAAAAGAAATGGGAAAAGAATATGGACCTCATTTTATCTATTTTATTTTAATACCATTTTAACAATTTTTTCTCCACCAATATATTCCTAGTAAATAAATATAAAAAGAGGAGGGGGACTTAAGTCTAGGAAATCCTAATTTTTTTATGTTTTAACAAAGGAAAAAAACTACATTATTTTTGTAAAGTATTTATTGAGTCATTGAGTCTTGTGCATCAAGCAATTATAATGTGACCTGGTTCTGTAGCGTGGAACTTAGGACAAATAAAGAGTTGGTTCTTATGCAACCTTTACTTGCAAAACTCCAGGAAAAGAGAATATATAATAAAATCATAATAAAATGTGTTACCTGCAGTAAATGTGTTACCTGCAAGTATTTATGATACAGATACCATAAATAGCCCTGGTAAAGCAGGGCTTCAAGGCAGGGGAGAGGAAGGTTCAAATAAAAGGCTCATTAATTGATGTGACGGTGGGTGGTGTAAGTCATAGCATCTTTGGCACCAAGAACATCAACCCAGCCCCCCGGAGGCTGAAGCTCATGACACACGTGTGACTTTTTGCCCACCCAGATCTAAGAAAGAGCTAAGAAAGCCAAGCCAGAGCAAAGGCTTTAAGACAGCCCAGGTGAGCAGGACTGCTTTTAGACAAAATTCTGCAATTATAGTAATAAGTAGAACTACTCATCATGCAAATTATTTCTTTTCCAGATGAGGAAACCAAAGCTCAGCAAAAATAAATTACATTGGATCCATCTTTCATTTCCTAGCCCAGTGCTCTTTCTACTATATCAAATTTTTGGTGTCCTTATATTCCTGGTTACTTTGGTATTCCCGACCCCACCTTTAGGTTCTCTTAATAAAATCTTGTTCCTATGGAAAAGCTCTTATCAGTCATTTACACTTTAGAATGAATTATCCATGTATTGCCCACTCTCAGGATATTTATATTTAAGATCTATTTCTAATTATGGAATGAGCAGCCTTATTCACATCTGAAGGAATTTTAGGCAACTGATAGGGAGAGAATCAGTAGGTCCATATATCAGGGAAGTGGATTTGGTTTCTAGTAATAGGAAAACTATTTTTGCAAAGAGAGTTGGTTGCAATGGAATGCATTGCCTTTGAGGTGGTGAGTTCCCTGTCAGGACAGGAATTCAAGCAGAGCTGGAGATAAAGCACATGAGAAGCTCAGTTGAGTGATGAAAAGAGACAAAAATGTACAACAATAACACCCTCTTATAAGTGTTCTATTAAGGGTAAGTGTAAAGTACTGTGGGAAAATAGAGGCAGGATTAGGGAAGTACCTGCTGGGTCTAATGGAGGAGTGAATGCATTTGGAGCAAGAAAACTGTATGGACAAAGGCAAGGAATTAGAAAAGAGCTTGGTGTTTTCTGAAAACTGAGATGTTTGGAGTGATGAGCAGAGGGACAAGCGTGGCAAGTTATGAAGCCATGTCTAAGGTGTTTTTCTTAAGGATTTAGTATGGAAGATTAAAAGGAACAGAACTCTTTCCTACTACAGTGAGAATGAGTGATGGGAGCAATGTTTTCAATTTGCCTTTTCTATTTATTTTCAATTTGCTATTTGCCTTTTCATAGCAGACCTTGCTGACCTAATGAACTGATAGTTGGAAGAAGGGGTGAATTGGCAGCAGAGGAGGGCTCCTGGGTTCTTTGCCTACTAAGAACACCCCTAGTCTCCTGTACATCATCAGGATGGTGCCACACCTTTGGAAATTCGCTGAACTGTAATCTGCCTCTATCAGGATGAGCTAATTTTCAGTCACAAAGCTCTAGGGGGCCAATGAGTGATCCTCAGAAATCCAGACCCCTCTTCCCACGGTATCCAGTACGACAAGGAGACCCTTACCTCATTCACCACAGGGCCCCAAGCCGGCCCCAGGATAACCCTAGGGAAGTCCCCCATGGAAAGTAGATCACGTGCTCAAGGGCTGACTTTGCCCGCAGCAGAGTCAGCTGTCTGCACTTCGCCTGCAGCCCCTGTAAATAGGACCCCTCAGGAGCTGCTCTGCAAACGCCTCTCATGGGATGCTTTGCTCCTTTGCCTCTTCCTGGAAAGAGAGTCCCTTTTCTAGTAATCCACCGGGCCTCTTGGGTGCCACATCTGAGCAAGCCGATAGTGGCAAACAGATGCCCAAGGCCCTCTAGTGGCTGCACATGGGAAGGGGGAGGGAGAAATCTGGAAGAGCTGACCTTTCTCTTCAGCCCCAGGTCAAGCATCTGCCATGATTAGTCTCCCAGGCCTGTCTGTCTTTGTAGCTCAGTGGCCAAGAGGGTAGATTTCCTCATCCTAAGACCGGGAGTCAAAGGTCAAAGAACAGGTACTATACCAGCCACCCTCTCCTGAGCACATGCTTTGTGCCTCTGTGCTAATCACTTTACCGTGGGAGCCAGGCACATTACATGCACTTCAGACGAGGAAAAAGAAGCCCCAGCAAGGTTAGCTAGCTTGTCCAAGATCATAATGCTCCGTAAATGGCAGAGCTGGTTGAAGCCAGTTCGGCCTGATCACCAAGTCCACGTTCTTAACCTTACCCCTTACTCTACTCTCTTCCTAACTCTTCCAAACACACAGGATCAGGGTTTTTGCTCCAACTCACTCTGCCTTTTCTCAAATTGTTCAAATCTGCCAAATGTCCCTGCACCAACCTTTATGGTATCTCACATTGGTGACAGAGGTTCTGGCTTTATCTCTATGTATTTTGCTCAGTTCTCTCATATTCTGTAAGAGGAGTTTAATCTTGTAGCTGAGCCCTTGCTCAGGCTGAGTGAGTAGCAGAGCCTGACATTTCTAGAAGATAGCCTGCTCCGTGGATGAGAACAGAGACTGTTTTCCCCACTGAACACAAGCCCCGTGCTAACTGTTGCCTGTTGGGTGGATCTCAGGGACAGGTGCTGTGTCTCATGCTTTCCTACACCCCCAGCTCCTAGCACTACACCTGGCAGATGTCTTTGGGCAATGTGCAGAGGGCTTAAGAGTTTGAGGGTTGAGTCAGACTGCCTGGATTCCAATCCTGGCTCCCTCACTTGCCTGCTGGGTACCAATGGATAATTTAATCAGGCTCTATGCATTCCAGTTTCCACATACAGTTGTTGTGAGAATGAAATAAGATAAGAGATATGAAGCTCTTAGCACAGGGCTTGTCATGTACCATGTGCAATGAAGGTTGGGCACTGGCGTTTACTCACTGGACAATTATTTATTGAGCATGTACTAGTTGCCAGGCATTGTTCCAGATGCCAGAGATACAGCAGTGTACAAATCCAAGTCTTCCTGTTGGAGGGTAGACAGATAATAAATTAAGTACACAATCTGAGATAATGGTAAGTGATATAAAGAAAAATAAATTATTTGATCACACGTGTATGTTGCATTATTTAAGGTAATGCTAGTTGCTGTAACAGATAATCTTCAAAATTGCAATTGCTTAACACAATAAACATCTAAAGAGTATGTTTCTGGTCAAGTGGTTCTCCTCTAAGTCATGACCCAGGGACCCAGGCTCCTTCCATGTTGTGGCTCTGCCATCTTCAAGGCATGACTCTTTAGGATGCCCTGGGGGTCTTCTCTATTCCAGACTGCTTAAAGAGTAAAATAAAGAGCAGGGAGAATATGCATAAAGTTTTGCATAGTTTGGTCAGGGAAGTACTGTACATCATTTCCACTCAATCTCCGCAGATCTGCTACATGCCACACTCTTCTGCAAGGGAGGCTGGGAAATGGAGTCCAGTTGTGGGCCCGGAAGCAGAGATGGGCTGTGTGAGCACCTAGTCAGTCTCTGCCACACAGGCAGACCACCATCTACCTGATTACACACAGCAGGAAAGAAAGCTGGTGGAAGGGGCTCTGGCTGGGCCCAAAGGAGGTAACCAAAGGGAGAGATCCTTCTCACCCCATTGCCATCTTCCACATTGTATTATATTGCTAAAGTGGACCTCAGTTTCCTATCTGTAAATTGGGATAAGACCACCTGTCCTACCTACCCACTGGCAGATGCTTTTGATGTCCCACATGTCCCTTTGGCACTTTCTGCATCTGTACAGACCAGCCCAACTTTCAACTGGCAGCTCCTGCGGGTCTTTGCCTGATGACTTTCTCTGGCCACTGGAGCCCATTCAGCTTGCACAGAGGCAGACTGAAGTGCCAGGGAGTTAACAGTGCCCTCCAGCAGCACTTAACAGTCGACTGACAGGAACTTGGTAGATGAATACCCATCTGTCTCATCCCTCAAGTGGGGCAAATTCTGAAGCATATTTTACACCATTCCCAGAGCTCCCAGTGGGACTGAGCTCCCGTCACCCACATTGATAACCTACTTGCTAACACATCATTTATTGGCCTCCTTCCCTTCCCTATCTTTCTTCCCCACTTCCCAACTGTTGCTCGCTGGAATCATCTCCCAAATAAGCTACTTGCTCAGATCCTTTTCTCTGGATATGTTTCGGGGCCGGGCGGGGAGTGGCTTCAAACCAAGACATCACTTCATGCTTTAGTGCTTACCTAGTGCTTCTGAAATATAAGTTTATAATATTATTGTCATCATGCTTACATGGAGGCGAGGTTTTGCTGTTGGTGATAGCTCTACCAAAAAAGAAAATTCAAGCTCATTCTAGCCAAAGTGAGGAGCTCTACAAGATTTCAATACCATTTATTTTTCACAAAATAAATATAAACTGCCAGTTTTTATGATTAGATCAACAGACAGACAATGATTCTGCCAAATATCTCTAAAACTTCCTGAACACATTTTCTTAATTTTTGAATCCATCTCTGTGCTGCCTACAGACCAGTCCTGCTCTGTAGACCACACTTTGAGAAGCACTGCTCTAATCAACTGAGCAACAGTGACTGACACCCCATGAGCACTGATTCTGGTCTGACATACAAAGAGTCATGAAAAAGCTTCCCAGGAAGTGTGTGTGGGGAGTGGAGGGGCGGCTTCTCTCTGTCATCCATTTACAATTTCCAATGGAAAAATGTGTGGGTTGTCACCATTATGCCTGCATGATTTCAGACAAATTAAAGGCTTGGCTCAGTAATTACTGGGTGGGTACATAGAGAAACATACATCCATGTGTACAGACCCTGAATACAGTAGTGTAAATTAAGGCAGAAAGCTTATAGCCAGTTGCTTTTCTGAGGTTTAGTTTTGGTTTACCATATGGGATTAGAAGAAGAGGGACGTTTTCCAGGATCAGAAGGAAAGACTTTTCAGGAACAAATTTATGGGACTAGCAACTCTTTGTTGAACCCCACTAGAAGAACAAAGCTTAGATACAGATCCTTCTTTTTTCTTTTTTTTTTTAGTTCTCCTTGTAGAGATTTGGAAAGCCAACATACAAAGACCAGTGCCTTGCCTGTAATGGCAAAAATAATATCATCCTTAACCATTTTAGTGGCAGGGAAATTGGCGGAGGACTGGGTTGAGACACAGCTGCAAT